TTGAGGTCATGGGTAAAGCAACACAAATTAAGCAGTTCTTGACTTCTGGAGGTACTGGGGGAAATTGGAACCAGCTGTGTAGATGGCAGGGGCGGGGGGGGGGGGCGGCGGGGATTGCAGCTTACTGGGAAGGATGACCCAGATGATTTGTGAGAAATAAATTTTAAAAACTCATAGCAAAAAAATAATAAAATAAATAAATAAATAAATAAATAAATAAATAAATAAATAAATAAATAAGTAAAGTAAGTAAGTAAGTAAATAAATAAATAAATAAAATAAAAACTCATAGCAGCATTCATAGGAGGTTTTTCACCTGGGGAAGCAAACTAGTTCAGGTCTGTGTTGGCACCCTTATCAGTCAGTGCTTCTATTTCATAACAAGGCACCTGTAAGGGACACACACGGCCTGTGGTATTAGGACCTAAATAGTAACCACAACACCAATACTGATGAGACATTTTCAAGCCTGCAGGGGCTGGGGGTTAGAAGGAAAACAAAAAGAAGGAAGCGGGGCTCTTGCATTGAAGACTTTGTGGGCTTTGTTCTAACAAATTAAATCGAACCCACATTTTCCCTCAGTTCCTTGATAATGTTTGTCCCTCTTTGGTTTCTTCAGAAACCTCAGCTGTACTCCTCGCTAGACAGTAAAAAGGTGGTATGCAAAGTGAAACCATGATCTGCAAGCTTCAAGTTGAAAACAAAAACAAGAAATCATTTGATTCAATGAAACAATAACAGCCAACAAGTACCAAGAGTCCTACAAAATGTCATACATTGTTCTCAGAGCTTTTCATGCTTTCTCCCATTTATTCCCCTAACAACCTCATAGGGTAGATAGTATGATCTCTATTTCGGAGATAAGAGTACTGAAGCACAGTTAGCCTAAGGCCACATGGCTTGTAAGTGGTAGAGTTAAAAGGAGGGTTGTGGCCTGAAATGTCTGAGCAATTATCTCCATTCTACTTTGCAATGTAGATACAACCAAATCCTCTACAGGATCAAGATCATTGAGATAAAAATTCCCCTCTCTGAAATAAGTACTTTGAAGAATACAATCTCAGCAATACAAATATTCACCCTAACTTCCACCCAAGAGTCTGTGTTTTTTGCAACACCTGAAGTGTTTTCTGTATTGCAGGGTGACTCAGGTGGCCCCTTGGTGTGCATGAAGGACAACCGCATGACCTTGGTTGGCATCATCAGCTGGGGCATTGGCTGTGGACAGAAAGATGTTCCAGGTGTATATACCAAGGTTACTAATTACCTAGACTGGATTCAAGACAACATGCAACTGTGACCAAGGACACTGAATTCCCTGAAATCATGGGAGACCCTGCTTCCTCCACTTCAGAAGACACATCAAACCGGAGTGCTTCTTCACAGAGCTGAGCCATCACACAGTGTAAGTGGGTGGCAGGGCAGGGAAAACCCAGAGGAGAGGATAGGTTTTCATAGGTACTTCCCGTTTTTAGAAGTTTTCAGGGCTTAAGATCTGATTTCAGAATGTCAGCCAAGAAGACCGATAAATGCCAACCCCTCCTGGAAAACCACCCTGGAGGGCAGAAGAGAGGTAGAACAAAAGCCCCACCTCCTGATCTGTCAACTTGAGAAGCTTTGGAAGTGGGATCACAAAGATAAAAGCATGTCTCAGTAAAAAAATAACTAGGTCCTTCAGGAATGAAGGATTGCTTTAGAAATGCAATGTCTATTTATAGGTCACAAGGAAGCCGACAGGGGCCTCCTAATAAGGGATGGGCTGGCTGGCCAGATCATGTTCCTCAACACCACCTTTTAAATCAAGTATTTGGCTTTTCCCTTTCTCCACTCTACAGCTCTTGGAAAGAAATATTTTTGTGTATAGTGTAAATCTTTTTCTTTTAAACTTTATAATAAAACGGAAGTCTTGTATCATTTTAATAACTGATGAACTAGGCTTTAGTATATTTATATCTGTTTTTACTTTGTTGCCACACCCATGTATCATACTGTGCTGAAATAAATTGATTATTTTTCACACATTTTCCCAAATCAGAGTGGGCTAATTTTTTTTTTTTTAAAGATTTTATTTATTCATGAGAGACACACAGAGAGAGGCAGAGACATAGGCAGAGGGATACGTCTCCGTGTAAGAAGCCCGATGTGGGACTCGATCCCAGATCTGGGGATCTCGCCCTGAGCTGAAGGCAGACGCTCAACCACTGAGCCACCCAGGTGTCCCAGAGTGGGATAATTTTGTTACACTTGCAATATCTCATGGCTTATTTATTGTTACAGTCACATTTTTAAAAGCATTTCAAATGTTTCCTCTCATTTGTTTGGCATATACAGATTCCTTATTGTATACAATGTTTGGTTGCTATAGAGTAAAAAGGGGGAAGAAGGCAGTTCTTGGTTTGGCAGGAAAATAAGGCACTAAAGAAACATTAAGGTAGAATGGAGATGGATCACAAAACGGTAAAGAGAAACTTTTACTGAGTTTCAGTTGCAGGAAGTATGAAGGGATCTTAAGGAAAAACAGAGTTAGGTAGGGGTGAGATTTGGATTGGTGTGGAGGTGTGGGCAAGGTATCCTTGAGACCAGGAATGTCACTGCATGGAAATATAAAGATCTGGAGAGCAAAATGGGGAGTGGGAGAATGGGGAAGGATTCTGTATAGGTTGTTGGAAGTGAAGTTTATGAAGAATATAGGTAGGAATTTAGATCATGGTGCCTTGAATGCCAAGCTGAATTTTGGACTTAATTCTGTAGGCAACTCTGAGCCACTGGGGCTTGTAACACAAGTGATGAATTGAGCATGCCCCAGGGAAATTGAACCTCCAGGGGGATGAAAGCAGACTGGGTAGGGAGACTATGGACAGCAACCACAGTAGAAAGAAGCAAAGGGGTACGAAGAACCCAACCATGACCTTGCTGGAGCCTAGGAACATCCCATTGCTGCTCACACTAGAAGCCTGTACTGGCCATTTTCTTCCCATTCCATTTCCTGTTCATCTGAAAGAATTAACTCCCAGACCATGGGGTGCCTGGCTGGCTCAGTCCGAAGAGCACACAACTCTTGATTTCCAGGTTATGAGTTCAAGCCCTGTGTTGGGTGTAGAGATTACTTAAGTAAATAAAACTCAAAAGAAAAACTAAAAAGAATGAACTCCCAGACCAGGCCATGCTCGTATGTTACTTAAATAATGCTGCTTGCTGCTTCTCTTCGACTACTTGCTTAGCTAGAGATGCAACTCTTATTCCTGGCTGCAGCCCGACAGGTATTATCACTGCCACTCCAGATCCAAGAATAAATCTGAGGATGCTTACTGTTGGATATATGCCAGCAGTTTCCTGCAGAGGAGAAAAGGTGGTTGCAGTTGGCTCTACCTCTTGAAAGGCTGTGAGAACTGCTCAGTTTAGAGGTTCTTAGAAAAAAAGTACATAGTTCCAGCTCACAAAAGAGACTCTCTAAAGGCCAGAAGCTTGATTTAGAGGGGAACAAAACCCAAAAACCACTGAAATGCTCAAGCACCCAGAGCAGTTAGCTAAATGCAGATCACAGAAACTGAAGTCAGATTTCTCTCAACCTTACACTGCTCACATACAAGTTCCCCCGTGCAAGTGGTGGGTTTTTTTTTTTTTTTTTAAACAGAAGCACACCTCAGCCATTTGAGACAAACACCGCTCCAGGATGGCAATGGCAGGAGTCCCATCTAGTTAGTGCATCTCTGGCAGGAATTCAGTGGGTTTTACCCCCTCCCCTTTCCCTTTGCATGATGAGCCTTTCTTCAGAGAGCCGGGTGAATGAAATGAATTCAAACAGCAAGGCCCCCTGGATGGAATCGCCAAGTCACAGGCCCCAGCATTCCTCTGGGTGAAGTCCTGGCAACTATAGATGAGATGAAGACAATTGCTCACAAGAGGTCGCAGACCGAGCTACAGGGCAGAGTCCCAGCAAATGGAGCCCTTTGAATTACACTCAAATACATTCAAAGAACAACAACATATCCTTTTCTGGCATGAGTTAGGAAATTAAGGATAAAATGTCTGGAAATTAAATAGTTTATTAAATTAATTGGGGAAATTAAATAGTTCCTTATCCCCAGCTTGTTAATAAAGCATATAGACACTAACAGGTCTGAAGGACAAGAAAGATTCTCGGGTAACTATGCAATACATTTTAGTGGTAAAGACTGAGAGGAACTCTGACAATGGAAACTGCTGTCCTTCTAGACCTTACGTCTGGTTATCAAAAAGTGTCAAATGTTTGATTCCACATTTAACTTCAAAAGCCAAAAACTCACACAATTTCCACTATTTGCAATCTTGGGGGATAGTTTAAGAGTTTCAAATTCAATTCCCCCTTTTAAAATTCTAACAATTAAAAAATTAATCCCATTGCTAACGCTGAGTCACCACCTGCTGGCCACAGAGGCAAGTACAAGTATTGTAAAATTCACCTGGTCAAACCACAGTGTAACCAGAACAGCCAGACCACAGGTAAAGACATGTTAACAACTAAGATAGGACGGAGTATTGATAAACACCAAACACTGTAGTTCATAATGAAAAAAGCCCTAAAGTCTTTTCATGGCCGAGGGATTTACCAAATGATATCGGTACAGATGATGAAATAACCACCACTGACCATACTTTACAAAGACGGTCCATGACTTATCTTCCAAGAAATCTTTACTACAGATAAGACCTTGAAGCCCTGTTTCACGCCTGAACTGACCAACCCAAGATCAAGAGTGGGGAAAGCACTAGAACAGCCACTGGGAAGCTTAATGGCTTCATTTTTTCCACACTGGGGGAAAATGACTCATCTTCACCTTTGTTCTTACCACCTTAAAAAGACATTAATACCAACATCCCCTATTTCCAGAGGTAACAAGAATCACATTATACACATGGCTTCAGGTCTACTGGTTGAAAAGACAGAAGTAGTAAGATCATCCTGAATTGTTTTATTTCTTACTGCTTCTACCTAGCACTACTGCTAGTCCTGGTAACAAAACACTTAGGACATAGAGGACTGGTAAAACTCAACTTTATTACGATTTAAACACAGGAGATACTTCCACACATTAAAACCACATATGGAATTGAACAGCTGAACCAGGACACCCTGCACTACTTACGCTAACATGTGGCTGAGTGGTCGTGGTGATGCTCCACTGGGCTCCAGAGGTCTGCTACACAGGTGATATATTACTTCACATGCTAAGGCTCATAGGTCCTCTACCCTAGATACTTGATTTTTCGTCAAATTCTTCCCTTGAAATTAGGATGAGCTGTCTGAGAGGTAATAGAACAGCTGGATTTATAACCTAAAAATATCCAGGGACCAAGACTGGTTGTTTCCTATCACCTAGGAAACCTTAAATCCCTCAGAGCCCACAGGAGAAGTAATTCCAAGTGTTCTGGATTCCTAGGCAGAGCTGTTTCCCCGACTGTGTCAGGTGTGTATATAGGACATAGTAATTCAGGACAAATTCTGGAGTGATGGGAGTATGAAACACACCTGTTTGTATACAACACAATTTATCCCAGAGGAAAACCATAAAGCAGCATTACTCTGCAGCAAAAACAAGTCCAGGAAGTAGGGAGATAAGACTAGCAAAACAAAATTGCTTAAGTATTTGGAAACAGGGCTTTAGGGAAAAATTACAGGGTTTGGAGAGTACAGGTCTTCATTTTTCTCCATGCATGAATCAGAGCATAATACCACTCCTTAAGCTATAACAATAATAATTTTAAAAACCTGTCTTTTATATAAATATTTAAATGGTAATAGGCATATTGAACTAGAATAAAAATTACCCATTGGGAAAGTCTGAGGTACCCCCTCAGCTACCATGTTTCTGTGTAACTGGGTTACACAAGATCAACATGGCCCATCATCTTTAATATCAGTTTTATTCAAAGGTTCAGGGTTGTTGTTTTTTTGCCTCGAAACAAAGATGGATTGGTAGATCTATATTATTAATAGATCTATTATAGAGTCAAGCACAGGAGACTCCAAGGAAATAACTTTACTGAGCAGCTTCCAGGATTAACCACGCCCCTCTTTACATTTTACTCATAAAGTAAGCTTTCTCTTTACTCAGAGTGACTGATGGAAAGCATTAGAGAGCAAGACTTAGACTCCAGCACTTGTCTGGCTCTGAGAAGTATAAATAAGGAGTCGCTGGGCTACAGCTGTGATGCACTTCATGAAGAATGAAATGGCCATCTACACTCCAACACTGTGACACAAAATCTGGCTGTCCTACGATGATTATGGGACTGGTTTTTCTGAAACTGTCCTTGGGTAACAGGAAAAAGGCTGAATTCTGTAATGTAAAGTGAGTAAATTGTTTTGGGTTAGGGAAAGGGGCATTTCAGGCAACCTCCACCAGGAAGAGGGAAGGTCACCTTCTCACTGGAGATGACAGACCAAGTGCCAACAGCCAACAGTAGTTAGTATCTGAACACTGATCGGATATCGTCACAGTCTTCAAGGGAAAATCTGACTCTACTGGGGTTTTCTGTGTCATTACTGGACTCAAATTTAAGAAGTTTCCAGTTCACTTCTAGAAATGCTAATTATTTTACATATATCAAAGTAAAGGGATCAGAAAGAAACCAACTCCACTCTTTTCCTTCCAATCCTCCATGTGGGGCCTGATTGCCTTTCCTGCCCCTTTTACTTGAGCCTGTGTCCTCAAACTTCTTCAACACTGTTTCCTTTCTTCTCCCTCATATATCAGATCCTTGACTGGCCTTTCCTTGACTAGCATTCATTTTCTTCCAAGCTTTCTTTCCTTCTTTCTCATCTTTCTAATATTTACTTCTACCTTAGAAAACAAAAAGTCGTTCGTTGGCTTTAGATAATTAAAGCCAAGCAAGTAACAAAGGCCAGTCTTTTTCTATGGTGACCAGGTTAAAAACTGTTAAATATGGCATCAAGTGTCTCTGCCCTCCGCCACACATTTCTTCTCTCAGGACAGAGTTGGTGCTGTGTTCCAGTTCTGGCTGGTTCTCCCTGGCGACCCTTCTCTCCCTTGATTAGCTCCACGCACTGAAAGCTAAGGAAAAAAGGGAGTGGGTGGGTCCAGAAGGGGGTACTGACCTAGGAGACAGGATGATATTTTTTACTTTTAGACAAGTAAGAAAGTGAAAAGGGTCCGTGACTGTTCTTTTTGCAAAACTTTCCCTTCAGGTTCGAACTTGGAACTTTCCAGCTTTTGTCATGTATTTTATGCCCTTAAAGGGTTTGTACTTTTCTCCATACATATCCAGACGATTCACCTTGAGTCCTGGAAGGAAGGAACACATAAGCATTGTTCAAAAGAAGCATGAGGGACGTCTGGTTAAATTTGTTTTAATTCAGAGGGATTGGTGGGAAAGAGAGAGTAACAATGACCCAAAAAAGCAATAGTAATTGTCCCCAATTTATTTCACTTTTCTGAAGCTCACAGATTTTTTGCTCCTGGTCCATACACTAATAAAAACTGCTCCAACAAAAAGGTATCCTATTGGAAGACTTGGAAGACCTTTTTATAAGGTGGCAAGGGCAGAAAAGTCACATGGGGACTGAAATAAGGATAAAAGAAAAATAAGACTCCTCTACATTTTTCTCAAGTTATTAGATAGAATACATGATTTAACAATAATAAAATTAATGAATAATAATATAAAATATAACTTAATGAATGAATTAATAAATGAATGCTGCCTAAGCATTCTCAATACTAAGCAAAATACATTTTATACTATATAGAGCTTTAAAATTTGTGAAGTGTTTAAAGATGAAAGAGTTTATAATTTAAATGAATGCTAATCACTTAGACAAGTTCTGTTGGTAAAGAAAAACAGGAGCCTCATATGAAGCTGAAGTCATCTCCTACATACTTCACACAATTGCTCTAAAGATTAAATAATAAAATAGATGAAAAAAAATAAAATAAAATAGATGAAATGAGCTTAAAACAGTCCCTGGTGCATAGTAACTGCCCCGTAGGCAGTTAACTATCATCACCATCATCCTGAGACAGGTGCAGACTGCAGCGGGCTGACGTGGGTTCCACATAGTAATAAAAGCAAATATGAAACTCCTTCTGAATCTGGGGGAAAGGAGGGGAAACTATTATTCTCAGTCACTAGCTGAGAACGCAGAAGGCTTCCCATCCTGAAAACCCTGGGAACTCCAAAGTGACAAGCCCGGGATGACTACACACCTGCTCATCAACACTCTGTCTACACACATTGTTTCCTTCTTTTTTTTTTTTTTTTTTTTTTTTTAAGATTTTATTTATTTATTCATGAGAGGCAGAGACACAGGCAGAGGGAGAAGCAGGCTCCATGCAGAGAGCCCAATGTGGGACTTGATCCTGGGTCTCCAGGATCATGCTCTGGGCCAAAGGCAGGCACCAAACCGCTGAGCCACCCAGGGATCCCCACTGTTTCCTTCTTAACTGTGTCTTAGATACGTGCAGTCAGATCACTTTGGCCACCTTCAAAGTAAGGATGATGAACATTCCCCACAAATGCTAGAGGAGATTTTACTCAAGGTTACCTATCAGGTAATGAAACCAAACTCCATAAATAGGGAGGCAGTACAAGAGTTTCCGAGATCTGTGTCCTACTTCTGTTCCCATGAAGCTACTGAGGTTGTAAGTCACTCACCGGAAATAGCCAGCTGCTGTATCTTAAAGTGCAGGTTAATTGTAGGGTTCTCATCAGGTTTGGAAGCTCCAGCCTGAAGACTCATGGTCCCCTTCAAACTTGGCAGCTTTTGGGGATTTATTTTTCCTACATCCCATGACAGCATCTTCAAAGAAAAACAAAGCAGTCACAGTGGAACCCTTCATCTGAGGTGGCTGAGTTCTAACCTCAGGGCAACTGTTCATAGTATTACCAGCTGCCTCTAAAGTGGTTTTCTTTTATTTTTTTTTTTAAAGATTTTTATTTATTCATGAGAGACACAGAGAGAGGCAGAGACATAGGCAGAGGGAGAAGCGGGTTCCATTCAAGGAGCCACACATGGGACTCGATCCCAGAACCCCAGGATCACTCCCTGAGCCAAAGGCAAACGCTCAACCGCTGAGCCACCCAGGCATCCCTAAAATGGTTTTCAATAGAGAAAACTATTTGTCAACACAAATTATCTCAAGGAGAAAACGATGTCCCGTTGATTAAGCTCTTTTCAATAAGGTGTAAAGTCTACATGGAGAGCTCCCGTAGAAATAATTCTATTTAACATCGGCAATTCAAAACCTCCTGTGTGTTCTCCTCCTACCTTGGTAACTGGGTCAAATGTGTGTGTCCCCTGAGATGGTGTGAGGCTCATATTTAGGACTCCTTTGGGCATCTGGCTGGTGACGATCACTCCCTCTATGGTCTTTCCCATAGTCTGCTTTGGTCCTACTGTTATTTCAAAGCGTCCAAGTGAGCTACTGTCCCGGAAACTGATGTTATGTTTAACGTACACTGGAATTGCCACCAGGCTGGAGTAGAGAGACAGAAACACCATTTCATTACTACACTGGAAAAATGGCAACATTTCTCCTTTTATAATAAGCATCCCCCCGCCCCCACCACTGACAGCTTTTCCTTCCTTACCTAATTTATTCCTTATATTAAAAAATAAGCACAGGAAAAGACACCAGTAATCTTTCTTTCTTTTTTTTTTTTTTTAATAAAACTAAGATGCTGTCTAGTAAGTCAACTAACTTCTAATGACTCTGAATAATATTAACAAAAATCAAAGGTATACTAAGCCTACTATGAGAAAGGCATTAGAGATAAAAATTAGGAGTCACTGTATTTCTATGTTTTACTTTATCACATGTGACCAGTAATTATTTGTACTTGAGAGAGTACTATTCACACCACATGGGAGTGCTTTTATACTTGACTTCCTCTGATCCTCACAAAAACCCTGGGAGGTAGGGTAGGCTGTGAAACAGAACAAGAAACAGAAAAATCACAGAGTAATACCAAAGCAGTAATAGTTCTTTTTTTTTTTTCAGTAATAGTTCTTAACATGTATTAAACACTCTCATATGCCAGTGCTATGCTAAATATTTTATTTCCATTATCTTGTTTAATCCTCACAATAAGTATAAAGTATGTACTGCTACTGTCCTGATTTTATACATAAATAATGATGTCCTTATACTTCACTAAGATGAAGCAATTTTCCCAAGGTCATAGATCATAAGTACTGAAGACGGGGTTCAAATGTGGGTAGTCTGAGCCCAGAGCCTTTGTTCTCAAACACACAGATATTGTCCTAAATTATTTATTACAAATCACACAGGAAAATATTGGTGGCTTGGAGCTTTCATGGCTCTCTCCAGTCTGTGTACCTTCTATTACACACCTTCTACCAAGGGCTTCTAAAGTCCCTGCACAAAATATTAAAGAGAATGTTCAAGACCAAAGATGACTGGACTGCCTTTTAGAGTTTTTCATAGCATCATAGCATAGTTTAATGCTCTTTTGAGTCAGGAGGATAGAATACAGGTATACTCAGGTTCCAATCTGAGAAAAAAAGTGTTCTTGTTTAGACATATACCAACAACAAAAACAGCAGCAAATTTAATGAGTACCAACTTTGTGTTAAGCACTATTTAGATTGTTTAATCTTTAAACAAGGTCCATTTTTTGTTTTCCACTTACAGATAAGAAAACAGACACAGAAAGGTTAAACAACTCACCTGAGGTTACCCAATTAGTAAGTACAGAAGCTGGAATTTGAACCCAGGTAACTAGAGCCTGAGTCCTTAATCACTACGGATACTGTTTCCACATATACACATAGACACAGATTCTATTCTTAATTATAAGGGCCGCTTACTTCTGTGCACTGACATGGTAAGAGAGCAGGCGGAAGTTTCCATCAGGAGGGATGAAGGAGAGGATACGCTCAGATTCCCAGCGCTTGAAACGAACACAAGGATGGAAGCTGACATCATCCAACAGCCGAGGATTCTGTACTCATCAGGCAAGGAGAAGCAGGAAGTAGGAATTAAACACCCACATTTCTTTTGGGAAAGTCATTCAGATGCTGTTTTGTTTTGTTTTTTATAATAAATTTATTTTTTATTTGTGTTCAATTTGCCAACATACAGAATAACACCCAGTGCTCATCCCGTCAAGTGCCCCTCTCAGTGCCCGTCACCCATTCACCCCCACCCCCCGCCCTCCTCCCCTTCCACCACCCCTAGTTTGTTTCCCAGAGTTAGGAGTCTTTATGTTCTGTCTCCCTTTCTGATATTTCCCACACATTTCTTCTCCCTTCCCTTATATTCCCTTTCACTATTATTTATATTCCCCAAATGAATGAGAACATATAATGTTTGTCCTTTTCCGATTGACTTACTTCACTCAGCATAATACCCTCCAGTTCCATCCACGTTGAAGCAAATGGTGGGTATTTGTCGTTTCTAATGGCTGAGTAATATTCCATTGTATACATAAACCACATCTTCTTTATCCATTCTGAGATGCTGTTTTTATTCAAACACACACACACACACAAATTCTGTAGCTACTTAGAAAATTCAAGACTGATACAAGCTTTGTGGCTGTCCTTAATTCTTTTTCTTTTTTCTTTTAAGTAGGCTCCATGCCCAGCGTGGAGCCCAAAGCGGGACTGGAACTAACTACTCTTGAGATCAAGACCTGAGCTGAGATAAAGAGCTGGACGCTTAACTGAGTGAGCGTTCCTGTCCTTAATTATTTCTTACTGCTCCATTCCATTCTCACCACTGTCTATCCAGAAGCAGTTAATCTGCCATCCCGAGATTTGAACCTGTGGTTCAGGATTTTACCATGAAGGAAAGTGTAAGGTCTGGCATTCCAGTCAGCTTGACACAGGCATCAATGACCCCCTGGATCTCGGCAGTAATTGTGGAACCTGAGAGAGAAGCAAGACCAAAAGAAGGTAAGAGGTTATTCAACACATCTCTGTGCTCCATGAACAGCTTATTTGCTCCCTACCACCTTCTTTGACTTTCTTTTCCTTCTCAACTTTTCTCAGCTTTTGTCTTCCCCCTCCCACCTTCCCTCTCTTTTTTTCTTTCCTCTGTCCATCTATGCAATTCGTCTACCCAACGCCTTTGTCCATCTTTCCAAACATTTATCAACTGTATGTCAAGGATGAGATGCTATGATGAAGCAATGGGGATAAAAGATTAATAAGAGAGTTATTACCCTAAAAGTTTTCTATCTAGTACCGGAATCAAACAGGATTATCATCATAACCAGTGGTTCAGAAAACTTCAGAGTAGAAACTGCTCTCCCTAATGTGACCAATGAGCTTTGCCAATGATCGAATGGACACTTTTGGTCTTTATCTTACAGGAGCTCTCAGTGGCTTGTCATTATTGACCACTCCTTCCTTTCTCTTAACCTCACCCTGTTTTGTTTTTCTAGCTCCTCTTCCTCAGTGCTTTCTGCAGGTTTCTGTTTCTTTGCATGGCTTTTAAATGCTGTACCTTTTCACAATTCTGAACTTCTCTTTTATTTCACTCAACATGGTATGGTTTTTTTAAGTTTACTTAAATTCAATTAATTAACATATAATGTATTATTGGTTACAGAGGCAGAAGTCAGTGACTCATTCGTCTTGTATAATACCCAGTGCTCATTACATCACGTGCTCTTAACACTCAACACCTAATTACCCCATCTCCTCACCGCTCCCCTCCAGCGACCCTCAATTTGTTTCCTATGATTAAGAGTCTCTTATGGTTTGTCTCTCTCTCTGATTTCATCTTGTTTTATTTTTCCTTCCCTTCCCCTATGATCCTGTTTTGTTTCTTAAATTCCACATATGACTGAGATCATATGATAATTGTCTTTTTCTGACAGACTTATTTTGCTTTGCATGATAGCTTCTAGTTCCACCCACATCATTGCAAATGGAAGGATTTCATTTTTTTTGATGGCTGAGTAGTATTCCATTGAATATATACACCACATCTTCTTTATCCATTCATCTGTCAATGGACATCTGCACTCTTCCCATAGTTTGGCTATTGTGGACATTGCTGTTATAAACATTGGGGAATAGGTGCCCCTTTAGATCACTACCTTTGTATTTTTGCAGTAAATACCCAGTAGTGCAATTGCTGGGTCACAGAGTAGCTCCATTTTCAGCTTTTTGAGGAACCTCCATACTGTTTTGAGAGTGGCTGCACCAGCTTGCATTCCCACCAAAAGTGTATGAGGGTTCCCCTTTCTCCACATCCTTGCCAACATCTGTTGTTTCCTGAGTTATTCATTTTAGCCATTCTGACTGGTGTGAGGTGGCATCTCATTGTGGTTTTGATTTGTATTTCATTGATACTGAGTGACATGGAGCATTTTTCATGTGTCTGTTGGCCATCTGTATGTCTTCCTTGGAGAAATGTCTGCTCCTGTCTTCTGCCCATTTCTTGATTGGATTATTTGTTCTTTGGGTGTTGAGTTTAAGTTTTTTAAGGATTTTTGGATACTAGCCCTTTATCTGATACGTCATTTGCAAGTATTTTGTCCCATTCTGTAGGATGTCTTTTAGTTTTGTTGAGTGTTTCCTTTGCTGTGCAAAAGATTTTTATCTTGATGAAGTCCCAATAGTTCATTTTTGCCTTTGTTTTCCTTGCCTTTGGAGACACATCTAATAAGAAGTTGCTGTGGCCAAGGTCAAAGAGGTTGCTGCCTGTGTTCTCTAGGATTTTGATGGATTCCTGTCTTACATTTAGGTCTTTCATCCAATTTGAGTCTATTTTTGTGTATGGTGTGCAGTTTCATCCTTCTGCAAAAACTTCTTGAGTTTTTCCCACAGGTTGCTTTTTTCACTCTGTTGACTGCGCAGAAACTTTTTAGTTTGGGGTGCTGGATGGCTCAGTCAGTTAAGTGTCTGCCTTCAGCCCAGGTCTTGATCCCAAAGTCCTGGTTTGGTTTCGAGCCCCACGTTGGACTCCCTTATCAGTAGGAAGCCTGCTTCTCCCTCTGCCTATGTCTCTGCCTTTCTCTCTGTGTGTCTCATGAATAAGTAAACAAAATCTTAAAAAGGAAAAAAGGAAGTTTTTTATAGTTTTATTTATTTATTTATTTGTTTGTTTGTTTATTTATTTATTTTAAAGATTTTATTTATACGTGAGACACACAGAGAGAGAGCAAGAGAGGCAGAGATGCAGGCAGAGGGAGAAGCAGGCTCCATGTGGGGAGCCTGACGTGGGACTCGATCCCAGGACCCCAGGATCATGCCCTGGGCTGAAGGCAGTGCTAAGCCACTGAGCCACCCGGGGATCCCTTTTTATAGTTTTTTATATATTGACTGTGTTTATATAGTTTTTAATATATTGATTATGTATCTTGCAACTTTATGGAATTTGTTTATAGTTCTTTTTTTTAATTTTTTTATTTATTTATGATAGTCACACACACACACAGAGAGAGAGGCAGAGACATAGTCAGAGGGAGAAGCAGGCTCCATGCACTGGGAGCCCAACGTGGGATTCGATCCCGGGTCTCCAGGATCGCGCCCTGGGCCAAAGGCAGGCACCAAACTGCTGTGCCACCCAGGGATCCCGAATTTGTTTATAGTTCTAACAGTTTTTTACTGTTACTGTCTTTAGGCATTCCTGTATATATGATCATGTCATCTGCATATTAATATTTAAGTATATTCCCAGTACCTAGCACAGTACCTGACACAAAGTAGGTACTAAATTAAAATGATCTTGAATAAGAGATAATTCTGATACTACCAAGTATATGAAGGAGACACTTTCTTTCTAGTTCTGAAAACAGTTTAAAAGCACCTACCTGGGGATCCCTGGGTGGCTCGGTGGTTTAGCGCCTGCCACTGGCTCAGGGCATGATCCTGGAGTCCCGGGATCAAGCCCCGCATCAGGCTCCCTGCATGGAGCCTGCTTCTCCCTCTGCCTATGTCTCTGCCTCTCTCCCTCTCTCTCATGAATAAATAAATAAATAAAATCTTTAGGAAAAATAAATAAATAAAAGCACCTACCTGATTTATCAATGATGGCATCAATCTCTTCGATCACATCAAAATAGGCCTCATTGTTGGTATACTTTACCCCAGTCCGTCGCCAGGGCACCACTGAGAGCTGTCCAGTAGGAAGCTGGTCACCCACATTGGTGCTTCCTACAATAATGAATTTGACTGTAATTTAATTCCAATTTAATTAAATGTAACCAATTATATAATAGTCATAGAACACTTCCCTAGAAGTTCTATGCTCCCACTACTCATACACTCAAATTGGTGGACTTAAAAAAAAAAAAAGAAGATATAAGTGTTTTCTCAACTTCTATCTGGATAACCAGTCTATTCTAAAAACTTGTCGCCATCTAGTCTGCTTATTTGAGCAGAATAAAGGTTAAAAAGTTACCTGAGAAATAGATATCATATTTTGGTTTTGAAAGAAACTTGAACCTGAGTCTCTCAAATTTCACAATAGCTTGTAGCTTAAATAATGTACTGGCTTTCAGTAGGGATAGTGAGCTACATATTAATATAAAATTTTCATGGGTAAAAATGATATTCTAGTTTAAGGTAGGCTTTTAAGTGCATTTCTTCTAGGTATTAAAATGTACACATTTTACTACTACTATACTGAATCTTAGGAAAAGAATACAAATTAGGTCTTTCCCTGTCTATTAAGAGTTGTAAATCAACTCCTTGTTTTTCCCTCCCACAAGCATCAAAAACTTTTTTAATCCAAAAGTTCTATGCTGAAATTCTGAAATATTACAACTAATTTAAAATCTATTTCCTGGGATCCCTGGGTGGCGCAGCGGTTTGGCGCCTGCCTTTGGCCCGGGGCGCGATCCTGGAGACCCTGGATCGAATCCCACATCGGGCTCCCGGTGCATGGAGCCTGCTTCTCCCTCTGCCTGTGTCTCTGCCTCTCTCTCTCTGTGACTATCATAAATAAATAAAAAATTTAAAAAAAAAAATCTATTTCCTTTTCTTGCAACCTGGATCTTTTTAATCTAAAGAAAGAAACGTTAAACACACACATATATTCAGCATGTTTGCAAAACATTTCAACTTTTCAAAAGTGACTCTCAGGTACCTTTTTCTAGATTTAAGAGAGATTCAGAAAAATGACTACATAGTATTCATAAATGATTCAGGCACTAACAAAACGTTTAAGAGTTAAATGAATCCAGAATATTGAAAAACCCAACAAACGTGTTTTCTTAAAATGAGGCACCATTTTAAAAACATGTCATCAAAAAAGTAAATAAATAAAAAATAAAAACATGTCATCAAGCTATAATAATTAAAGCAGATAAAACAGTAAGCCTAAAAACAGACAAAGAATCCACAGTGATTTAGTAAAACACAAAAATATCACTTTAAAACAGGGAAAAAGGTTACTTTAGTAATCTTAAATGCCCTAGTAATTGGCACTAGGAAAACTGGTAGGTAATTTTGGAAAAATAAACATGGAGCCTTCCTTCATATTGTAAACCAAGATATTCCCAAATGGATTTAAGAATTAAGTCCAAAAGTAAAACCATAAAATAATTAGAAGAAAATACACTTTTAAAAAAGAAGACCCTTCCTTCTCTGAGATCAAAAAGACATTCCCCTAGGTTTTCTTCTAACAATTACAAGGTTTGTATTTAACTTTTTGACCTTGCTGGAATTTATTTTGTGTACAGAATGAATAGGGGACTTCATTTTGTTCTAAATCAAAGCTGACTGTCCTAATACAATATATTTAACAATTTGCCCCTGGCCCACGCTAAGATACATGGCATCTATATATACCAAATTTCTACAAAAGCAAGGGTCCATTTCTGAACTACCTTATCCCTTATCAGAATCATCTATTTGTCTATTACTGGGTCAATACTATGTTTTTAAAATTACCAAAACTTATTAAAATGTATTTTATATGACACATTTTCTCTTCTGCTCTTGTTCTTTTTAAAAAATATTTATTTTCAAAACTGTCTTGGCTTTTATAACTTATCTACGAGTTTTTACTTCCTATACTACATGTATAATACAGCTTTATATTTAAGGCAAATCTGTCCAACAGCTTTGGAACTCTTTTTCAAAATATACCCAGCTATTCTGCATATTTATACTTCTTTAAAAGTATTTTTCTTTTTTTTCTCCCCCCCTTCCCCCCCCCCGTATTTTTCAATTAGTTTGTAAAATGCCATGCAAATCCTTGTTATATATTAAGCAAGACCCAAGATGTAAGAGCTCAATGAAGCAGAATGATTAATATAACTAAATCAGAATTAAATGTGGCTAAACAAACACACCATGGACAATGATTAAATGACAAGTGACTGTGAGAAAATAATTTATTTTTATTTTTTAAAAGATTTTATTTATTTATTCATGAGAGACAGAGAGAGAGAGAGGCAGAGACCCTGGCAGAGGGAAAAGCAGGCTCCATGCAGGGAGCCCGGCGTGGGACTCGATCCTGGGTCTCCAGGATCATGCTCTGGGCGGAAGGTGGTGCTAAACCGCTGAGCCACCTGGACTGCCCGGGAAAATATTTATAACAGAGGATTCAAAAATATATAGAACTACAAACTACCATGTATATTTCCAATATACATACATTAGTTTAATGTTCTTAAATGAAAGGAATTCTTTTTTTTTTTTTTTTTTTTTTTTTAAGTAGGCTCCACACTCACCATGGAGCCCAACTCGGGGCTTAAACCCACAACCCTGAGATCAAGATCAGAGCTGAGATCAGGAGCTGGACACTTAATGGAATAAGCCACCCAGGTGCCCCAAAAGGAATTCTTTTAAATTAGTATAAAAAAAAGAAAAACATTTCAACAACAAAAGAAAAACTGGACAAAGGACACAACTAGGTAAATTCACAATAGAGGAAGAACACTCAATAAACACTAGAATGGGTTTTAACTTCCTTAATAATAAAAAATGAGGTGTAAATAAGATATAACTAACCTATTAAATTGCCAAAGCTTTGAAAAAATTATTAATAATGATAGGGTTGGCCAGAATAGAAATTGCTACTACAGAAAGTATAAATTTTTTGGAGATCAGTTTGGCACAATGCATTAAAGTCCTTAAAATGTGCACACCCTTGGATCTAGCACTTTCATTCGTAGTACTGAAAACAAATCACCTCACATGTACACAAAGACTTAAATATAAGAATGTTAATTCCTTGTTATCTGGGACGCCAGTGGTTGAGCATCTGCCTTCTGTTCAGGGCGTGATCCTGGAGTCCTAGGATCGAGTCCTGCATCTCGCGGGGAGCCTGCTTCTCCCTCTGCTATGTCTCTGCCTCTCTCTCTTGTCTCTCATAAACAAATAAATAAAATAAAATCTTAAAAAAAATTCCTTGTTATCTAAAGGAATAAAAAAATCAGAAACATCATTAACATGGACTGAATAAATAACTTAAGGTCTATTCCATATAGGAGAAAATTATAAAGTCATTAAAAGTCATGTAGAAGAAAATGTATCATAATGGGATAATGTTCACAAAATACTGAAGAAAGTTTTAAAAAATATACAAGAGTTGTTTGTAAAAAATTCCATGCATCTAATCATTATTTATCTGTCTAGAAAAGATAAAATATATGTCAAAACTGAAGTGGGATTAAGACTTATTTTCAAGTTCTTTGTGCTTTTCTGTATCTCTGACATTTCTATAATAATCAAGTGTTTCTTCCGTAATCAGAAAAAAAAAAACAACACACACACACACAAAAGCCCTCTTTTTAAAGAAGCATGCTTGGGGCACCTGGGTGGCTCAGTTAGTTAAGCATCTGCCTTCAGTTCAGGTCATGCTCTCAGAGTCCTGGAATCAAGCTCCATGTTTGGCTCCCTGCTCAGTAGGGAGTCTGCCTCTCCCTCTCCCTCTGCTCCTCCCCCAGCTCCTGCTCACTCTTTCTCTGTCAAATAAATAAATAAAAATTTCTTTAAAGTTTTTTAAAAATAAATAAAGGCGCACACTTTATTCTGTCATTGAAATCAGGGCATTTTCTATATGAGAAAGACATATTTCAGGTCATAATCAAAGATGAGCAAAATTAAAACACCTGGACATCCGAGAGCCCCAAAGACAAGCACTCAAAACAACGCACACCCCGGGTGGAAGCCACACCCAAAATGGCAGCTTTCTGTGGGTTTCACCTTTTTCCATACCTGTTATGGTGTTGACCACCGTTCGAAGGATAGTGGGAGGCTTGATCAGTTCTTTGAGGATGTTGGATTCGGTAGCCAATGGAAACCCATTGTCAAGCATCTCTTCCAGTACCTCATAAACCACAACCACATTATCTTTGATCACTGGCTCTGAACAGACTCCAAAATAATCCTGATGAAAATACAATATATATAATGTAAATCATTCAGAGACTGTAATGAAGGGAAAGAATCTTCCTAGAGAATAAGAATCTAGTCCTAAAAAAAAAAAAAAAAAAAAGAATCTAGTCCTGTCCATGTGTTTACACAGTGCTTCTAGGACATTCTTCTACAATGAGGGAATATAACTGTAGTTCTCTTAAGTGGCCCAGTTTGGTAAAAAGAACACTATATTGGCTTACAGTACTAGTGTCATTACTAACTTCTTTTACAAATTAAGAGTAAGCCATTTAACTTTTGGGGGGTTAGTTTCTTCAATTAGACAAAATATAGAGAATACAAAATGGAATCTAGACTATCATATGTGCTTATGAACAAGAATTTGAAAGAAGTATGCAAAATAATAATACTTGATGATACACGTTGGACCTGAAAATCTTTTTAACCCTTTCTGCTGGGTTATTCCTTGACATTCATACAGCAAATAAGAATTGAGAGGGAAATAAAATGAAATGAGGGAGATGACTAGCACATCAGAAAATCTCTTTGGATCATTTCTACTCTAAAATGGTAGGATTCTGGGGATCCCTGGGTGGCGCAGCGGTTTGGCGCCTGCCTTTGGCCCAGGGCGCGATCCTGGAGACCCGGGATCGAGTCCCACATCGGGCTCCCGGTGCATGGAGCCTGCTTCTCCCTCTGCCTGTGTCTCTGCCTCTCTCTCCCTCTCTGTGTGACTATCATAAATAAATAAAAAAAAATAAAAAAATAAAAAAATAAAATGGTAGGATTCTAAGAATGCTTTGTGCTTTTACTAACAAAGGCTTAGATACTAAATTATCTGAGTTGTGGAAAAAACACTGGATTCCAAATCAGAAGACCTAGGTGTTAACCTTAATGTCATTCACTGAAAAAGTCTTGCTAATTCAGGCCTTGATTTCTTTAATAGTACTGGACACACAGGGATGTTATAAGAACTAAGCATGATTAAGTGATAGTATGTGTGAAAGTACTTTGTAAACTATAAAGTGCTTTGCAAAATGTGATACACGATGATAAAAAGAAAGGAATGCTTGTGGTCTTTGGGTGTGCCCCTTTTAGCAGGGTCAGTCAAATCTTTTACAGGACCTCAGAGATGGTCATACAACCCTCCTTGAATTCATCCACTGAAGGGAAATTCACCATTTTGAGAAAGCCCATTCTATTCATGAAATGCTCTGATTATTAGAAAGTTCTTTCTTTTGCTAAATTGAAATTTGCTTCCTAGATCTGCCTTACAGAACAAATTTACATAATAGCCCCACAGTTATTTGAAGACAGCTACAAGCTTTCACTTCAATGGTTTTTCTTCCAGACAAATTCTGTTTGATTCCTCCACTGTTGATGGTGTGGTATATGGTTTTTAGATAGTTCTACCACCTTGCCATTTCTTTGAACATGCTCTAGTTTTCCAATATGCTCCTAAAATTACAATATTCAAAACTGAACAGACTCCAGATGTGATCTAAATTACACAAATAATAGCAATTATCAGAGACATTCCAATATCCAAGAACACTTAAGAGGCAGGAATGTGTTCCTAAAACAAGAATTCTTCTTTAAAAACGAGGATTTAAGGGGGAGGGGGAGCAAGACAATTCCATCCCAAGAGTGCTTTTCTTTTGAAAAATACACAAAACACCTCACGAGATTTTATAAATCAGACATAATGTGAACTAAGCAGTTGGAAAGTATGACAAATTACTATAGCAAAGTGTTTGCAATTCTACAGCTGGAACTCTTCCATCATATTCTAGTACTAAAAAAATAATGCAGAGAGAAAAGACATTAAAATCAGGGCATATCCATTTACTTTTAACAAATCCTTCAAAAATGACACGCTCTGAAGCCCGACTTCCAAGCTAGCGACTTTACTATTATCCCAAATTCCTCTGTGGTTTCCACCAGATTAAACAACTTTTTTCACTTCCTGTCTTGTAATAAATTACATAATATTGCTATAGCAGTATGAAGCAAATGCTGGGTTTCACCAAAGGGACTGTTAATCTTAGAATGGGGTAAAGTATCATATGTGGAAATCATAATGAGGCCCAACGAGAGAAGTTTAAGGTCCTAACTACTGGATTCTTCTTTTACTTCTTCCACATACTCGGGTTTATAATTCTCAAGTTTTCACTGTGGGAAGGAACTAGTATGCCACATGAGAACTGGAAACCCAGAATCGTACACCAGCTAGTATTTGTGGGAAAAAAATTATAAAATATATTTAATTTTCTTGGGATGAAAGCTATTCTAGACATTTGATACAGATATGAGTGCAAATGAAAGGACTCTTTGACTTGTTTTTTAATTCCATAATACCTGAGTCATCATCTCTTGATTCCACGATTTCTGTATTCATATGACCAATTCCAGACCTCACATAACACAGAGGTTGAACTAAAGGGCCCTTGCTTTTCACTTATTGCCTGAGTTATGCAAATAACCATAGTAGTTAGCATTTGAACAATTCTTTTAGGGGGAGGGACCCCACTGTTTGAATCCACAGTCTGGACAGACTAAAACCCTGTGCTATAATATAAATGGTGCTGACATCCTGGTATAACTTACTTATACTTCCCTTATGCCCTGCTCCCCAAGATCTTCAAATCTATTCCTGAAAGAAAAACTCAAAGTGAAAACTGTGTCTTGTAAAATGTGTCACTTAAATTCTTACAGGAACAGAAGATTTCCAACCTTATCTTAGTTTGCAACAAGAGCTCATCACTAGTACTGACACACTGTGTGGATAAGCACCCAAACCTACAATGAAGTTTGGGTTCAGAGATTACGTCTGCCAAGCAGAGTGAAACAAGCATTACTGAGTTTTTGCCTAGCTCTTGAAAATATACATATTTTTACACACTCATCACTTTTTCATGCAACTCAAATGTAGTTGACAATGGCTAGCATCAAGTCCACTAAGAAAACAAAACATCCCAAAACTAAATTCATCTGATTTATGAACAAAAAATAGGGCAACTCCAATCTCCATATAACTAAAATGACTGTATACAATCATACCGAGTGGCTTTCTTATGCAACACGTTCAAAGGTATTCAATTTGCCATTTCAGATGTAGCTAATTCAATAAACAGAAACAAGAATCTTATGAGATGGGAGAGGAAGTGAGCAATCGCAGTTTTGATTTTTTAAACTGTTCCTTAATTGAAGCTGAATACAAAGAAAAAAGAATCACAAAGACATACAGTTTACATGTACGAGCTTCCTCAAATTCACACACCTGAAATGTGTCCACTACTCGGTGAAGGAACTCAATAACAAAAAGTGGAGGGACCTCTGTCTGGATCACGGCCACAAAAAAGATCTTGTGACGGTAAACACTTAGGAGATAGTGGTGAGGGGTAGGGATAACTGGAGGTACATTTTCTGCCTCAGTAGCTCTCTCTTGCGCCTCAAAAAAGTAGTCACAAACAGATCGGCTGACCACACTTTTCCAATGTTTTTCCAGGAATATATCTCCAGAGGAGTTGATCAAGAAAAGGCTATGAATCATGGTGGAGATTGTCAGGGAGAAAGGAAAGTCTTTTTCGGTCTGAAAACCTTCAGGACAGCCAATTTTCAACCCTAAAAATAAAAGAAGGTACAGTCAGTTTCACTCAACCAAAATACCATACCTATCTTTCAAGAGCAGACTCAAGTCTTCCTCTATGTAAGAGCCTGAAGTATCCCCCTCTAGAATTCCTAAGGATAATTATCAGCCACCTTGTCTGCAAATCATTTACTGCCCGGTTATCTTTACTATTGCCTTAATTCTAACCACTTAAAATTTGACTTAATTTTTGAATGTCTGTGTTCTCAACTGGACTGGAAGTTCCTTGAGAAAAAAAGACGAGGCCTTAACATTTTTTGTTGCCTCATTGCTGTGTTCCCTGCACAGAAGAGAGTTTCAAAGAATATTGATGAGTTTCATGTATTTAGCCACAACTTGCGCATACATGAAATGCTAGCGGTTGCTTAGTCTCAACCGGTAGCCATTAGCTAAAGGCCACCACTGAGCACTTGAAATATGTCTGGTCTGAACTGAAATGTGCTGTAAGTACACACCACACTGAAGGTCTTATATTTAAGAAGGAACTTTAGATACCAGTAATATAATATTAACATTAACTCAACATTGATATTTTGATATATCAGGCTAAATGAAATATATTAAAATTAACTTAACCTTTTAAAAAAACGTGGTTACTAGAAAAATGTAAAACTACACATTTAGTTCTCTTTATACTATAATCTATTGGACAGCCGGTCAACGGCTGGAGAGCCGGCACCTCGGTCTTGGTTAGGAACAAGGTTCTGCACCGGGCGCCCTACAACAACCCCCCTGGGGGATGCTCTCCAGGCATCTCCCAGGAGGCGGCGGCCGCGCTGGAGCCCAGCTCTGGCCACTCCCCGCGCTGGCGGCGAACCGCCCAGGTGGTCACACCGCAGAAGCCTGCAACACCAGGACCCCAGGGCAAGCTTAAACCCTCTGCCCGCTGACAGCCGGCCGGCGGGAGGGCAAGAGGGGGTAACTGGGCTGGGAGAAGGAGGGGTGGCTGCTAAAGGCGGTTATCTCTGTGCTGGTCCACCTCAACCGCCTAAGAGCGAAGGATGATGGAGGCCATTTAGGGCGGGGGTGGCGGGGGGCGGATTTCAGGGGGGCGCAAGTCCAGGTGGTGACAAAGGTCGCCAGACTGCACACGTGCGTTACCATGGCAACAACGTCCCCTCCTCCCTCAGCCCCCGGAACGGCGTCGGCCGCCTCCCCAGCCGTGTACTCGCTCCCTCAGCTCTCCCCGCCGCATCCTGTAGCCGGGAGGGTGAATCCCACCGCATCCCCTAACTCTGGACCTGCCCGGCGCGCCCCCGGCCCGGACCCTCGCGCGCCCCCGCCCGCCTCCCTCAGCCCCCGGCCGGGTGCATGCACGCTCTGCCCGCAACCCCGACCAGGGTCGCCAGCCCTCCTCACCCAGCCTCGCTCCTCGAAGCGCCCACAGTCCCGACGCGCCGGCAGGCCCCGCCCCCTCGGCCGCCCCCCCGCACGCGCGCCGGCGGCCGCTCGCCCGTTGATTGGCCGGCCCTTGGGCCTCACGCCAGCACCGCCCACAGCCGTGGTTTAAAAACCTCTGATTGGACATCGATGATCCGCTCCTCTGATTGATAGCTGTCTGCCAGTCACTGTCTTCTTGGCTTCGAGCCCTCAATTGGCCCTTGTTGAGGCTTCAGTAATCTCCAATTGGTGCAGCTCTGTGGCTCCGCACCCTGATTGGCTGTCGTGACCAGTCCGAGGGCCCCTTGGCCTTGAATCACCCAGTCACAAAGGGGCGGCTGCAGCTGCCTGCGTGAAGATAACCGTGGAAGGTACCTAGATGGGGATGCTGAAAAGTGTGATTTCCAGGGCAGGATTTGTCAAATAGGAAATCATGGGTAAGAAAGCGTGAGCAGTAATGACTCATTTCCATTAGATAAATGCATTTAAAAAGAGACACGATGCCTTTTCGTTTATGTGCATCGGGTGAAGTAAAGGGCTGTAGAGTCTTATGGAGAGCTCTGGACCTGGATTCAGGAGGCCTCTTCCAGCCCCAACCAGGCCACCACCTGCCTGACCTTGGACAAGGCACTTAACCTTTCAAAATCTCAGTTCTCAGATCTGAAAAGGAGGTACTTAGGCAGGTCACTCTGCAAATTGCATGGGAGTTCTAATGACTTTGATAATATATTTTAAGTGATTCAAATCATTGTGATCCAGAGAGTCATGAAGTAGACGTCAGACAAACAAGGTTCACCTTTAAACTAAAAATTATTAAATAAGACGAGGAATGGAAGGTGCCTGGCACATTTCATGTGTTCGATAAAACAGCATGTTGATGTTAATGGTAATAATGTTAATCTACACCACAAGGCTGTCACCCTGCTTGGGCTTTATTTTTCACTTTGGTGAAAGGAAGCAGAAATGGCAACTCCTCCATAGGGAAGACTGTGATAATTGTATATTGAAGGTGATACGGATTGTTCTTTGACATACTTGCTAAGGACAGATACTTGACTAATTTTTAAGTAAGTAAAAGAGAAAATCCAAAATCAAAATGGCTGAATGATGTGTCTTCCTATAAGCTGAGGGGCTCTGGTGCCTGACTTCCTGGGTTTTAATCCTGATCCAACACTTACCAGCTCTGTGACCTTGAGAAAGTATTTTAACTTCTCTAAATTTCAAGTTCCTCCCTTCTCAAGTAAGGGCACTAATAGTACCAACTTCCCAGAGTTGTGAGGATTGAGTTAGAAAAGCGTCAGCGATTGTTATTACCTAAGAAGCAGCACAAGATGCAATTGCACATGGTTACTAAGCAATGTGTGTTGAAGGTGCAGAAATGCAATCACTGTTGTGGGCCGTTCTCATTCCCTGCATTAATATTAACGGAGAGCCTCCTATGTATCAATCCTTTTGCTGGGTGCTGTAGATGCTGCAATGACTACTATCACAGGCATAGTGTCTATTGTCACCAAGGCTAGCTGGAGAAGACAATTGAGAAGGCAGTAATTACAAAGCAACCTGATGAGCAAGGAGTCAGGGTCGGGGGTCGTTTGCTGGTGGAGGGGGCTGGCCTAGAGTTAGGGAAATCCTATGAGAGATGAATGTAGATTCCTCCAATAAAAGGGTAGAAGGACAGAGAGAAGATTACATGTGGAAAGCTCTAGAGATAAGAGAATTAAATATGGCTCAAACTAGGATTGGAGAAAGAATGCAGGGAGATGCAGGGGGATGGAGTCCTGCACTGAGCTCTCTGCAGGGAGCCTGCTTCTCCCTCTGCCTGTGTCTCTGCCTCTCTCTGTGTGTCTCTCATGAATAAATAAATAAAATCCTTAGGGAAAAAATGATTTTGGGCAGAGAAAGTTTGAATGAAAAAAATTAGGAGTTCAGCCTTGGTCATATTAAATTAAATATATATGATAGCCATTGAATGGCCATGTTGAGAAGGCAGCTGGATATACATGAGTCTAGGATTCAGGAGGGAGGTCTGAACTGGAGATGTACATTTGGGAGTTATCAGGATATGGATATTAAAGCCATGAGTCCAGCTGAGATGACTAAGGGAATGAGCATGGAGAAGAGGACAAGAGTCTAGTGGCATTCCAAATTTAAAGGTTCACAGAGGAGAGGAAGATCCAGATTCATTTAGTCTTCCCAACTACCCTGAAATGAATTACTGTTATGATCCCCTTTTTATAGATGAGAAAACTACAGTGAGTGCTTAAGCAACCTGCCAAATGTCAAGTAAGTAGGTAAGTAACATGGCTGGAGTTCAAGCACACAGGAAGATCTAAGCAGTCTGGTCTGGCCTCCTGCCTCTCTCATAAGCCTGGGCCCTGAGACCTTTTGAAGAAATGTTAAGTAGGACAGTGAAATGCTTTCAAATTTACATTTCATAAAGACCAGGCATGTGGGATGGATTGGAGAAAGCCAAGCTTGGGGGCAGGGAGATCATTTAGACTATTGCAGTAATCCACATCAGAGTTGCTAGTGACTTCAACCAGCATGGAGGATTGGAGAAATCAGTGGACAAATTCCAGAGGCGTTTGGGGGGTAGAATGAAGGGGATTAATTAGAAAATGAATAATAAGGAAGAATGAGGAATCCAGGATTATTCATAGGTTTCTGATGTGCACAGTTGTATGGATGGAAGTGTCATTTGCTGAGATGGGGATCACTGGAAGAGAGCCACAGGGGAGGGAGAGGTGGCATGAATTCATTCATAGCAATGCCAAGGGCCGTATCAAGTTCAACACTCAAATATTTTTTGAATTTAATCAAATATATTATAGAATTTGGGAGCTCATATACTACCTTGTCATGGTGTTAAGAAGGGCCACAGGAAACCACTGACTAAAATGGCAAGTCCATTTTATACATAAACATTTCTGGGAAAAGATTTCTAAACCTGCCACTAACGAACCATCCTAGTGTTTAACAGCAATTACTGCTGAGTTTTCTTTCTTTTTTTTTTTTTTTTAAGATTTATTCATTTATTTGAGAGAGAGAGTGCGCATGTGTACATGAGTGCGAGCCAAAGGGCAGAAGAAGAGGGAGAAGCAAGGAGCCCTGACTCCTGCTGAGCAAGGAGCCCAGTGTGGGGCTGGATCCCAGGACCCTGGGATTTTTTTTTTTTTAAGATTTTATTTATTTATTCATGAGAGACAGAGAGAGAGAGAGAGAGAGAGAGGCAGAGACACAGGCAGGGAGAGAAGTAGGCTCCATGCAGGGAGCCCGACGTGGGACTCGATCCTGGGACTCCAGGATCACGCCCCAGTGCCAAAGGCAGGAACTAAACCGCTGAGCCACCGAGGTGTCCTTTTTTTTTTTTTTTTAAGATTTTATTTGGACCCTGGGATTATGACCTGAGTCAAGATCAGGAGTTGGATGCTCAACTGAGCCACCCAGTCACCCCTGAGAAATTTTTCCATTGTGAGAAGCCAATCTCAGCTATCAGGATTCCCTGAAAATTATTGGATTATTATTATTAATATTTTGGCCTAAGACAAGAGAGGACTTGCTCACTGAGAAAGACACTTTTAAGGGCTCTGCAGTGGGGGCTCCAAGCCCCTCTCTAGCTTTGACACTTCTTGCTCCTATCCATGAATGTTACCCTTGCATCAAACCTCACTACTGAAGAAACCTCAAACCATCAAACCTCATGCACTGAAGAAACAGAATGCCTTCTCACCATGTCTTTGTTCTCACTGATCCCTCTTCTTGGCATGTATTCATCTCTTACTCATCCTATTTGTGGAAATTCCCTCCAGCCCTCAAGGCCTAGCCATATGTTTTCTCGTCCACGAAGTCTGTCCCAAGCTGGATGCCCCACACTAGAAGTAATTTATCCCTCTTCTGTGATTAAATAGCATTTCATAGCTCCTTTATGTAACCTACAGTGCTTTTGACACTGTGCCACACATTCATGCACCCAATCTGATCACTGCAACTGGACTGTAAACTCTGAGAACCACGGTGTGCATATATCAATGCCTAATATATATTCATTCATCTATTAAACTAATATTTATGGAGTGATATCTCCTGGACACCAAGGGTACAAAGACAATTAAAACATGTCTTCGGGAGTTTATAATCCAATGTGGAGAAAAAACTCTAAAGAAAAGATCCCTTAAAAAAATTAAGACCAGCTCCTTCAAGCCTGGTCATGGAAGGAGCCTATCCTTCTGGAAAGGAGAGCCTACAGTTAACACTCCTAACTCTCAAACAAGAGTCTTACCTTCTCCTTAGGGACTCCTGCTACTGGCTGCCCTCACCATGCTGGACTTGGGAGATTAGCATTCCTTTAGCTCTTTAATATCAGTGTAGACACACAAGTTTTTGTTTAATTTCCCACAGCAGAGCAAAGACCAGATGGATACTTATACAAAGCTTGTGTAAAGCTTGGGGATTATAAAGAGGAAACAAAAAGAGTCACATGCAAGTAATAATGTAGCTTACAAGATGTGATGTGATGAGGGTATCCTGGGATGCATACCTGCTTCCAGATGGCAGAGCTTCTGCTTCTCTGTACCTCCTCTCAAGTTCATCTCAAGGTCCTGCGATCCAAACCTTGCCTGACAAGAAGCAGTAGCAGCCTTCTCCCAGCAGCCTCGGGCTGGCATCCTGGTCCTAGTCTCCTGAAGGAAGAAATCATTAACCAAATGGCTCCTCCCCTAGATGCTATACCCAAGGCACAGCATTATTCTGTGGCTTCTTGGATGCTCCTTCCTTCTCTCTACACTCGTCTAGATGACCTCAGGATTATAAGTACTCTTTTAATTATTTAATTTAGGTTTTGTATCTCCAACCTCAACCTCTTCATAAACATACAGGCCCACATAGCTTATCATGCACTCGACATCTACACTCAGGTGCCTCACAGACATCTTAAAGGGGGAAAGAGGACCTCTTGAGTTTTCTTCCCCAATCTTTTCCTTCTTCCAGTCCTACTCTCCCTCCAGTTCTCATCTTAGTAAACAGTATCACTATCTATTCAGCTACTCAAACCAATACCCACAAGGTCCTCTATTACCCTCAACCCTGCATCTAATCCAGAAACAAACCCTACTGATTCCCTCACTGAAGTATATCAGGAATCCATCCTCTATCCAAATCAGTCACAACTCCAGTCCAGGCCACCACTGCCTCTCACCTGAAAGACTATAAACCACCTACACACTGATCTCCCAGTTCCACTCTCACCTCATTCATTTTATGTACAGCAGCAAAAGTGAGTTCAAAAAAAAAAAACTATTAACGGCTATGTGCAGCTTAGACTCTTCAATGCCTTCCCAAGGCATGAAGTTCAAATGCCTTTACCACCTTGCTATAGACTCTTTGTGTCCCCTCAAAATTCATATGTTAAGTCCTAATTGCCCAATGGGATGGTATTTGGAAGTGGAGCCGGTGGGATGTGATTAGGTCCTGAGAGTGAAGTCCTCATGAATGGGATTAGTCCTTCCCAAGGACTTAACACCACTACATAGGGAACAGAGGAAAGATGGCTGTCTATGAACCAGGAAACAGTTTCTCATCAGACAGCGCATCTGCTGGAGACTTGATCTTGCACTTCTCCATCTCCAGAACTGTGAGAAATAAATATTTGTTGTTTAAGCCACTCTGACTATGGTACTTGTGTTACAGCAGCTTAAATGGACTAAGGCACGTCTCTTTTATCTACCAGTTTCCATCTCTCCAATTGAGTCTCTTGCTTCCCCTCTAATGTACCCTCCCCACTTCCCACTTCTAGGCCCTGGAATATGTTGTTCCCTCTGTTTGAAAAGTTTTTTTTTTCCCTGTTTTTAATATAACTGGTTCCTTCTCCTTACCTTTAGGGGTGGGCAGTAGAAGAGGAAATTGTTTCATTGTATGACCGAGTGAATTATTATGCTGTTATGTCCTGTAACATACAGGATACTATATACACAACTAGTAAGTGTTCAAAAAGAAGTTCGCTCAATAAAACTGAATTCCTAGTCTACTTTGTTCTTATCCTAAATTGGAGCAAATGGGGATCATATTCAAGGGCCAGAATGTCAGCTTCATGTCAAGGATTCAGGCTTCTCCTAGGCTGCCATTCCTCCATTCCTAGGGTGGAACTTTCACCTCATGCTCACATCTTTGTCATGGCTGCAGGCATCAAGCTGTATTCCAGGCAAAGAGGAGGAGGAAAGACAAAAAGCAAATGAACTAACAGGGAGTCAGTGCCTTTAATGAGCTTTTTTCATGAGGTCCCTCTTTTGCTCTCTTGTTCAGTATTGAGCTAAAAAGAGGTCCTGGGAATACTTTTAACTGGGCACATTTACTACTCCCCTTCCCAAATGGGACTCTGTAAATAGACAGGAGAATGGAAATTGGTAGACATCTAACAGGCTGTCTACAGTCAATGGGAGTGACTAGAGCACCTACGGTCCATGAATAGATTGGATATTTTATTTTATTTTAAATATTTTATTTATATATTCATGAGACATACAGAAAGAGAGAGGCAGAGACATAGGCAGAGGAAGAAGTAGGCTTCCCACAGGGAGTCTGATGCGGGACTCCACCCCAAGACCTGGGGATCATGCCCTGAGCAGAAGGCAGATGCTCAACCACTGAATCAGCCAGGTGCCCCTAGATTGGATATTTTATTTTTATTATTATTTTGTAAAGATTTTATTTATTTATTCATAAGAGGCACATAGAGAGAGAGAGAGGCAGAGACACAGGCAGAGGGAGAAGCAGGCTCCATGCAGGGAGCCCGATGTGGGACTCGATCCCGGGTCTCCAGGATCATACCCTGGGCCAAAGGCAGGCACTAAACCGCTGAGCCTCCGGGGCTGCCCATGATATTTTATTTTTAAAGATTTTATTTATTTATTCATGAGAGACACGCAGAGAGAGAGGGGCAGAGACACAGGCAGAGGAAGATGCAGGCTCAGTGCAAGGAGCCCAACGTGGGACTCCAACCTGGGACTCCAGGATCACGCCCTGGGCTGAAGGTAGGTGCCAAACTGCTGAGCCACCCAGGGATCCCCTAGATTGGATATTTTTTTAATATGTATATTTCTTATTTTTTAATTTTTATTTATTTATGATAGGCACAGAGAGAGAGAGAGAGAGAGAGAGAGAGGCAGAGACATAGGCAGAGGGAGAAGCAGGCTCCATGCACCAGGAGCCCAACATGGGATTCGATCCCGGATCTCCAGGATCGCGCCCTGAGCCAAAGGCAGGCGCTAAACCACTGCGCCACCCAGGGATCCCTAGATTGGATATTTTAAACAAAGTCTGGAATTGAAAGATTTATGGAAAGCTGACTAGAAAACAGGAAAGCTCCACCAGAGAACTTTCATGTAATCTCCACAAGATAGATCGTAACAAGAAGGGTCTGGCCAGGAGGAGGGCAATGTGGTCAGCTCTGATCTGGAAGGGCAGTAGGATGGCAACTGGTCACAGGGTTGTAAATAGCCATAAACTGACCCTGTGATCTTGGGTAGGTTACCTAGATAAATTGCTTGAATCAAAATGTTACCTGTAAAATGAGACAATTGGACTACACTATCTCCAAGATCTTTCCAATTCTAAATTTCTACTAACAACGATCTTTTCTTCTTTTTCAGCAGTGAAATATCTTAAACAAATGAAAGCCTACATAGAAAACAGATAAAATAGAATCACATAGGAATCAGAACCATGGAGTTCTACTTGGCCTTGTCTTAATCCCCATGGTGGCCTCTGAACTCTCCAGAGTGTATTTCTACATAGTTCCACATGTGACTGTAATAAAATGATGTGGGGCGCCTGGGTGGCTCAGTGGATAAACAAGTTAAGCATCTGACTTTGGCTCAGGTCATGATCTCAGGATTCTGGGATGGAGCCCTGGTCTGGCTCCCTCCTCATCAGGGAGTCTGCTTCTCCCTTTCTTCCCTCTGCCCCTCCCCCTGTACATGCTTGCTCTCTCTCACTTTCTCAAATAAATAAAAAAATATTCTAAATGATGTATTTATTGGTATAAGTCAGCCTATAGATACAGCCATGAGTATTCTTTTCAGAAAAGGAAAATTGCTTTTATTTCTTAATAGCAATCTTCAACCCTTAAAAAAAAAACCCATTAAGTTAACTAGGGTTATTTAGTTATTGCCAAATCATGGCACTCTATCGGAGTCTCATTTGAAATCACTGGGGAAATATTAATCAAATCTCACAGGACAACTGACAGAATTCTCTCCAAAAATTACTCGGTAATGTTGGGAAAGAAAGAAGTTTGGATTGTAAAAAAGAGTTTTCAGAGTAACATACTTCTTATTTTGTAGGTAGTTATTTAGATAAAAATTACTCTCAGAGGAAAAAACAAACCTTCACTTTGCAAATACTTATTTCCTGTGTGCCTGATGACGGGGCTGCTTTCTGTTTACCAAAAGTAATCGATGGTAATTCAAAGCAAAAAACAGAAAAATACACCTCTTGGTCAGTCACCTGTTGAACTTCTTTCCCTTTTGCTTGTTACACTTTTAATATGCCCAAAGTTGTTTTTTTTTATTTTTTTTAAATTTTTTTTTAATTTTTTATTTATGATAGGCACACAGTGAGAGAGAGAGAGAGGCAGAGACACAGGCAGAGGGAGAAGCAGGCTCCATGCACCAGGAGCCCGACGTGGAATTCGATCCCGGGTCTCCAGGATCGCGCCCTGGGCCAAAGGCAGGCGCTAAACCGCCGCGCCACCCAGGGATCCCCAAAGTTGTTTTTTTTTTAAATGCCCTTTGAAAACTTTTAAATTATTCGAAAAAGTGAGGGTAGAAAGACCAAGAATTCTGCAGCAGGTGTCCTCCAGTTTCTTCCCTAGTATGCACCCTTTGGAGAAAAGATTTGATGGACACTGATTATTTTTCTGATCCGCACAAAAGCCTAAGCGTATCTTTATCTGCAGAATCGCCCAACATCCCTGGTTTTACTTTCTTCCCACTCTGGTGACTGACTATTAGCTTCTGCATCTTTCTCTCCACTGCTCCTTCCGGCGTCTCGATGCTGCCCTTTCCCCTTACCCAGGTAACCCGCTCCACCTGCAGGCAGGCCTGGAAAGCGCCGCGTGCTCCTAGAACCCCCGGGCAGGTCACAGGGTCTGGGCGCTCTTCCGGAGCCGGGATCCCAGGCGCGTGCTCAGCCAGACTTCCCTCTCACTTTTCTTTTCTTTTTTTCTTTCTCGATTTTTAAGTTTATCTCTTCATGAGAGACCCAGGCAGAGAGAGAAGCAGCCTCCCTGTGGGAGCCCGATGTGGGACTCAACCCTGGGACCCCGGGGTCACGCCCTGGGCGGAAGGGAGACGCTCAACCACTGAGCCACACAGCCGTCCCCAATCCCTCTCACTTTTCAATCCTTATAAAGCTCCTCCACAGGAAAAATAAATAAATAAATGAATAAATAAAGCCAACCGTATTGCGGTATTCACGTAAGGTAATGAGAAACTCGAGAAAGCATTCTGATCATACATTTTTCATTTAGAAGCTTGAGAGGTTATTTACGGTCTCCCCGTGGCGTCGCCTCGCGTCCAGCCGGGCGTGCAGCCGCCGAGTCCGGCGCCCCCCAGACCCGCGCCCCCTGCGCGGACCGGGCTGCGCTCAGCGGAGCCGGCCGAGCCCCGCGCCGACCTCCGGGGCCGCCCGGTCGTGCGCTCGTCGCCGCAGAAGGGGGTGCTGTCGGGCGGGGGGAGGAGCGCCCAGGTTTCCGAAGGGAATCCCCGGCCCCGAAGCCTGCACGGGGCAGGGAGGCTTCCGCGACTCGGCGCTGGGGGACCGGCAGCAGCGCGGCGGAGGAGGGAGCGCGGGACCGGAGCGGACCCCGAGGCCCAGGGGCGGCGGCGCCTCGGGCTGAGCTCCGGCGTCCGGGCGGGCGGGGCCCCGGGTGCCGGGGACGCGGAGCCGCGCGCCGAGGAAGGTGGTCGGGCGGAGAAAAAGGGTGGCGGCGAGAGCCGAAGGTCTTTCATCCCCCGGAGACAAAGAGGTGCCTCCTAGTGACAACAGCTGCCAGTGCCACACGCGCCATACGGCGGGGCCGGGGGGAGGGGAGCCGGCGCCGCGCGCGTCGGAGGCGAGGACCCTCCCCGACTCCCCGTAGCCGGGGGGTTGTCATGGCGACGAGCCCCGTCCGCAGGGGCGGCTGAAAGGCCCCATTGTTCCGGAGCGGGGCTGCCCGGCCCGCGCCTGTCTCTCAGACGCCTCTGAGCGCCTCCCCGCGCTCCGGCGGCGGGCGGCCGGCGGTCTCCCCGGGAGCCGAGCGCCGGGCCGCGGACCACAGATGGCGACGCCGCCGCGGCCGCACACGCGCCGTGCGAGGAGTGAGCCGCCACCTGCCCCCGCCCCGCTGCCTCCCACGCGGCCCCCCCCGCCCCCAGAAGCCGGCGTGGGGCGGCGGAGCCCGACGGATGCGGGGCTCCCTCCTCGCTCCGCGGGAGGAGAGACGCGGCGGCTCGGCTGGGACTGGCGGGGGGCGGGGCGACGCCCCCGCAGAATCCCTGGCCGAGGTCTGGGGTCGGAGTGGGGGGGCGCGGGGAGGACCCCTCAGAGTCGCTGGCCGCGCGTGCTGGAAGAAAACCCAACTACAGGGCAAAGGTGAAGTTAGAAGCTCGGTGGCAGTGTTCCCTATTGGAGGAAACAACTAGAAGGAACCTGCAAGTCCTTCCCCGGGGGCGGGTTCAATCATGCGGGACGTCATCCCTCTGGGAAGATATCAGGGTGCCATTAAAAAAACAAAAACAAAAACAAACAAACCAAAAAAAAAAAAAAAAACAAACAAGGCAGCTCTGTATGCAGAGAGGAGGGAATTTTCTGGTATCGTCTTAAGGAATCAAGCAAGGTGCAGCACAGCGTGAGCAGCGCGTGTAGACGCAGACACCGCTGTGTGTGCGTGTTCGCAGCCGAGCCCTTGCTGCTTAGTACAGCAGCTGGGATGAGAGTGTGCAGTGGAGAGATGAAGAACATTTCGTTCTTGGAAAACTATATTGTCTTTTGTACTTTTTGATTTTTGTCCTATGTACCACGTATTATCTCTTAAAAAAAAACTTTTAAGGCGAACTTCAAAGTTGTATTTGCTTAAACACTACGTGATGGGATCTGGAGCTCTGCATAAGTCATCTGAAAGCCTTTTTTTTTTTTTTTTTAATGCTTTGGTAAATACTCATGTTTATAGTGTCCGTATACAAACAACTACCACTAACTCACAGAAATGTAGTGGCAAGCCAAATACAAACACACACACCGAGGGCCGACTGGTATTGGAGGATCCCACTGTATAATTCGTCTATCAAATTCATCACAGGGCTTCCAAGTTAATGACATCACGGTAGGGTGATTTTCCCAACTACAAAATGATTTATAATCAATGAAATGGGCTACTAAAATCCAATGACATTGACGGTCTTTCTATAAAGATAAAAGTAAAAATTGTTACTTTGTGACTTAACAATGAAAACAAGGTAACATCTGCCGAGAATGGACTGTGCCTTACTGAACGCTGTGTTAGGAGTTGATAACAGAACTTTTAATTGTCCAATTTTACAAATGAAGAAACGTGTAGAAATGTTCTTCTGTTTACTCAATATGAGGCAACTAAGAAGGCTGCAGAACCTAAATTTGAATTTACATCTGACTCTAAAGCCTATGTTGTTGCCTTCATGTTTTTTTTTAAAAATTTTATTTTTATTTAAAGATTATTCATTTATTCATGAGAGAGACAGAGAGGCAGAGACACAGGCAGAGGGAGAAGCAGGCTCCATGCAAGGATCCCAATGTGGGACTCAAGCCCGGGTCTCCAGGATCACAGCCTGGGCCAAAGGCAGGCACCAAACCGCTGAGCCACCCAGGTGTCCCTAAAAATTATTTTTAAAATAATGTAGTGGTCCAATATGACTTTCTAATCCCATGGTTTTGCAAACTGGATAAAAGGTATCTAAAGAGGGCAGCCCATTAGCAATTTAGCGCTGCCTTCAGCCCAGGGTATGATCCTGGAAACCTGGGATCAAGTCCCACGTTGGGCTCCCTGCATGGAGCCTGCTTCTCCCTCTGCCTGTGTCTCTGCCTCTCTCTGTCTCTGTCTCTGTCTCTCTCTCGTGTCTCTCATGAATAAATAAAATCTTCAAAAAAAAAGGTATCTAAATATTGAGAGTTAAACTATGTTGGAGGGAACTTCAATTGTAAAGTGTTGTGGGCCTGTAAATTTTTAACTCATGCTGTAGTTGGTCCTGCAGCATTAATATGAAGTCTTTGTTTTACGAATAACGTAGTCTTTGTGTAGGTGCCCAGAAATAAAGTTTAAATGGAATAAAGCCATCCTCATTTGTTCATGTATTGCTTATGGCTGCTTTTGCTCTTCACTATGGCACAGTTGAATACTTGTAAGATAGTATGGCCCACAAAGACTAAACTATCTACAGTTTGGCTCTCTACAGAAAATGTTTACTGATTCTTGATTGAGAGTTAAGATCATGCACTTAGAAAGGCAGAAGAACTTTTTTATAATTAAAAATGCCATCCCTATTCTAAAAGTCCTATTTTTATGTTTGTTCAAGTATTCCTCTCCTGTTCAAAACTTTACATTCAGGGCTGTCTCAAAGGGATTTAGCATTGAGAAATTTCAGGTCTTACAAGATATAGATGATATATGTATTGCCATAGGTTTCAGTCAGCCACGAGACCTCCCCCACCCCCCACCCCCAGGGTAATAGGAAGCTAACCAATGAGCACATATCGCTTTGCTTTGGAGGCTGTTCTTAACTGAAGACCTTCCAGGAAAAGAAAAAGACCAAGAATATGATACTTTGCTAAAATGATGCAATTATTGTGAGTTAAAATACATAGCTTATGGTATCATGTACAGTAGTTGGAACCAGCTTAGAGAAGTGATTGCCACTGT